GGGGGGGGTTGTGCAACCGGGGGAGCAGCCGGACAAGCTGCAGCTTGAGCCTGCAGCCCCAGAAGCCATGGGGGCTGTGGGAAATGATTGGGAGCTGTGGGGTTGAACCTGAAACTGGGGAATCAAACCAGGAGCTGGAGAGAAGTCCCTGATCATTCCCCGCAGCTCCCAGTTCGATTCCCTATCTCCCAGTTCTATCCCTTCGCTCCCAATCATTCCCTCCAGCTCCCCAATCATTCCCCCTAGCCCTTGCAACTTCTCCCAGAGCTGCCAACACTGCCTGCCTCGCCCCGGCAGGAGCCAGCCAGGGGAACAGCCGGACGAGCCACGGCTTCTCCTGAGGTTGCCGGCTCAAGCTGGGGCTCATCCAGCTGCTCCCACCAACACTGCCTGCCTGTATAGTCTATGGCCAAATAAGATTCAGCGCCAAATATCTTCAGATTCGGCCAAATTGAATTGGGACAGAGATTCGAATCACTCTCCTTCCAAATCGCCAAATCCGAATCTGAAGTGAATACTTTCTGCTTCACACAGGCCTACGGGATATCAGTCCCACATGAATTCAGCAACTGAAAGCAAAGTCTTTTGCTGAGTGTTTAGTATGGACAATAGTATTTCAGCCCTTCTCTCAGTGCCCATCTTCCTCATGAAAATATGGGAAGCTAGACATCTTACTTACTTGATTTATGTTTTAATTTCTAAGACAGAGAATGAGCCTGCCATGTATGTATGAACAGTGCAAAAATATGCTTATGGTTGCTGGGGAGCTATCACGGCTTCAAGTTTCATATGAAGAATATCTCTGCATGAAAACCTTGCTGCTTCTTTCTACAAGTAAGTAGACAATTACAATATATATGTGAAGGATGCCACTTTCTAACTTGAGATTGGGGCTGTGGGGGGAGTGTATTACTTTAATATTATTACCCAGAGCTAAAGCCAAAACAATGAGTGCCTCGCTGAATTAAAGTACCATACTTGCAGCATTGTTAGTTTGGCACCATTGAGGGGACTGCTTCTGACCTATATAACTGACTACATCATCAGATTGAATCTGCCTTATGCTAAATTGCAAACTGTATATTCAGAAGGTTGCATGCAGGCAGTTTTGTTTCAAGATTAAAAATTGTAACTCTTTGAAAAGTATGCTGATCTGCAAGCCCGGAATTCCATAACTACTGGGTGCAGCTAGGTATGTGTTGAGAAAATCCTTGGAAAAAATTGTGCAAGCAAGCACCAATCCAGTAGGGCAACTCTAGATGAATGAAAGCTAGATGGGAAAAGTGATTAACTAAGTATAGCTGAAATGCTTTGGTTCCTTCAAATTGTCTCCAGAGGGCTGGATTAGGAAGAATATTTTTTCGTAAATAAAGAAGGTCAAAATGGTGGGTGGGGTTGGGGGGAGAAGCAGGAGTGGGATCAGGTGGGAATACATTTGCAGGTCCTACTTGGGTACTGGAAAGGTGCAGATTTCTAACAGCAAAAGGGATTTAACCACTGGGACAACTTACCTAGAAAATGTAGGAGATTTATCTTCACTTGAAGTCATTAAATCCTACTTTTGGATCTTTCTAAAGGGGGTGCTAAGAAATAGGCTGGGTTAAATTTATGGTCTGCATTATGCAGGAGATTAAATTAAGGAATAAAATTATATTAATGTAAAGCAGCACACATACATTCTTAACCATGGTCACTTTCTGTGCTGTATCCCTATCGATCACCGTGCTTCTATCATCCATTTTCATGGGCTGATCATGGTGGCGCCCCCATGCCTCTGGTCAAAGGGCCCCAGTGGCCCTGCCCCTCACTGCTGATTGGCTGTAGCCCCACCTCTTGTCGCCGATTGGTGGAGAGGGGCAGTGCCACACAACAGGCAGCCCTTTCAGTCATCAGATACAAGCTATTTGATGTTATAGCTTGTAACCAGTCATCTTGCTGGCATCCCTTCATGCTGGCAACCGCCCTCCCCCTCGACATAACATTTCACCTGCATAATCCTGTAAACTTGATCATACCATGTATACTGAAACAATACACACTGCAAGACAATGGCAGGGATTTCCTATAAGTGATGACAAGATTTGAGAGAACATTTGTCTGAAACCACCAGCTAGAAAAATTAGAAGTCGAATAAAACTGAAGCAAAAAGAAAAATGCCTTTTAAATAATGAAAATAGAATTGAAAATCTAAATAAACCCATCACTTTTTTCATGCTAACTGCATGATTGGAGGTTGTGACACTACTTCAGTATGTTTAGTTATGCGTCTCTTGCATGGTATAGTCAGGCCGAAAGATTTTTCTTATAATTCCCAGGCCCATGCACGTGACCCATTTCCAGATGAGCTGAATATTCATGATAAATTGAGACATGATGGGAGTAGCTTTTCTGGAGCAAAATAAGGCATTTTTTACTCTAATGCCCAAAAACATCATTGTGGATGGCTTACAAGTAATGATAAGATAAAAATAGAGATTTGTTCAACCAGTTTATATGGGCGCATCTACACGTGACATTATGTCACTGTAGCTAAGCAGTATGGTGATATAACGCCCGATATAGCGCGCCACTACGGCGAAGTAGCTGCTAAAAATAACCATGCATTGCGTGTATGGAGCAGCATGAGTTGTTACTGCGCCATGATTTCATACTTCCAAAAGTACTAAATCATGGTGCAGAAACATCACCCTAATGACACGTTTAGACGCGCCTTGTATGACTAAATTTAACTTCCTGCTCAGCAAGGGTTAAATGTCAGTATTACAGGAGCGGCTGAACTATTCATTATGTTTTTTGTGTTTTGCTTAGTTGATGATAAATCTTGTAAGCAAATAGTAATGCTGTAGTCTTAGGCTTTTTGCCCTGTAAATACAGGAAGATTTTATAACAGAGCACTGTGTCTACTGTGATGTAGTGAGGTAATAAATTTACTTAGCAGAAGTATCAAGCAGAGGTAAGTTGCCATTATTAGCACCTCGCTGTTCCGTTGGAGAGCGCACAGATATTCCATGAGCAGTTCACCTCGGCATATTGGCAGCAGACCCAGTGCAGTCTTTGCTTTCAAATCCAAAAACTGGGACAAAGGTTCTTATGAAAGGAAGCATTCACAGTCTCTAAGCTCCACACTTGTGTGTGTTTTTTGAGGCCTGAATTCATGAGACAGCTGCCAGCAAACTCTTTAAGTGTTATAGCAACCATTTCCAGGATCATCATATACCATCCTATAAATGATATACATACTGCTGCTGGAATTCATGTGCCCATGTGTGTAAGGAAGCTAGGCCAGACTGTAATATAAACTCATACAGTACTATATAGAATGGGACTTAACTGGGACCTTTGGATGCTACTATACTGTAATGTGTGCTTAATGATACTATGTGTAAGCCTGTAGAGCCTCAGTCTAGTACACTGGATGAGACAGAGGTTCTGTGGAAAACATAAAAAGCAACTATGGAATTAATGCCAGTATCATCATAAAGGGGGGCCGATGTAGGCTGCACAGGAAATACTGGCATTTCCTGGCTTTTGAGTGCTTCACTTTACAACCTGAAAAGAGAGAAGGGAGTGTGCATGTGTGTGACATATTTTTTTAAGTATCAACTGACTCCCCTTTGGATTATCAAAAGAATTCAAACTTTTAGATCTCCTGCACAGGCCTTTTGACTTGCGTTAATAGGGCAGCTGACATTAGGACTTAGGTGCCATCCTTGATATCCCTTTATACACCATCCTTTATATGGACCGATGATATACAGGCCAGAGGAGTTTATAGTTGTTTGCTGACACCATAGGAACAGCCATGCAAGGAATCATGAGTTCCAGTCAAGGCTCTGGATGAGATTTTGTTTTTAGGCTAAGTACAGATATTTGGGGAGGTTAAATCAGGTTCAAACTGGCCACCCAACTTAAACTTAGCTCATCTTAGTGCCGACCTTACACTTACGGACCCAGTCCTAGTGACCAGCAATCAGTCTAAACCTGTAATTGTGTACACGTTCCATGGACACAAACCGGTCTAAAAATTGGAGAGCCCAGTTTAGGAAAAACCTGAATCTACGTAGTACCAGACTCATTTGATTTAGGTCAGACTGGTGCGTGGAAATTCTGTCCGTTTTCCCTGCGCAGCCCCGGGGCTGTGAAAACCCAACCACTGCTGGCCCCAGCTCCAGGGCTGCTCTTTTCACTCTGCCCTCCCCCAGCACTGGTCTATTTTTGCGCCCCCCCCCTCCCCTTCTGACCAGCCAGTCCTCTCAACGCCCATCCCACAAACCACTCCAGGTGCGGCTGATTTTATCGGCATTCGCTGGTGCCGGACCCAAGCAAGTCTGTTCTGTTGGCGGAGGAGCAGGAGGGATGGGGTGTAGGTTTGCTGGGGGGGACCCCACCCCACCCCACCCACAGATCGTGCCTGCCCCCCCCTTTGAAGGTTGCACCTCCCCT